AGTTGTTTAACCCCTTGCCCCACAATATCGCATGAAAATCACGATATGATTACAAGTCATGCTTTTGATATATATATATGTACGTGTTTATTTTGTACTACTAGTAGTAGAGACATGCGTTTTATGGATTTTTTAGAGTAGATAATCGGAAAAATTTAAAATGAGATTGAATTTTATCTCGTGTCCTTTCGTATTCCAATCTTATTTGTACTATTTATTTATTAACCTGCAAGAAACTGAGAGAATCTTATTACCCAATTTAATGTACTTGAACTTCTGTCGTACTTTCGATTGACTCGGACAGGCAAGCAGACAAAAGCAGGCAGGCAGGCACTTTCCATTTCCATATTAGTATTAATGTTTGTAAATACTAGTCAGGAACAATTAGCAGTGGAATGTCGCGATATCTGACCAATTTCCTAAATATTGCATTAACGGATTCTTTTTTTATGGAATAGAATTACAAAATTTTGGTTAATATGTTTTTCATTGCTACTTGTTGAATTCTACAATTTTATGAAGTTTAGGGATGTATTTATAACGATTTATAAATTATTTGATAGTTAATAAAGTGTAAGTAAAGAGCTGTTTTAGACAACTTCAAAAAAATATTTGGCGAGATGATCAAGATATCTCCAAAATTTATTACTGTTAATAATGTATTTTTATATACCATTTAGTACAGATTTAATTTTAATATTTAAATTAGGTACGTGTTGTACATTAGCCATGAAATAAATATTTGTTCAGAAGGGAATGAGAAATCTGACAAAAATGTGACAGGGTGTTTAAAGACTACTGCAGGAGAGTGAAAAAGAGAAAGGAGGCAGAGAGTGATTAGGAAAAGTGGGTCATGATGTGAAATAGTAAATGAGGTGGTGTACCACGGAGCAAATTAAGATAATTGTAAATCAGTTTAAGCATATAATGTTATAATACATAAACCTTCGAAATATATGTGGACTTTTATTATGATATTTGTACATTTGTAGTAAAATTGTTTGAGTTCTAATCGCATTGGAGAAAAGATAACTTTCAATTAATCTCCCCTGCCGTTTGATTTATACACCTGTGTGTAAAATTTCTAACAGAGTTCTACAGATGGCGCAGACAATCATTTACGCATCACTCACTATAATAATTTCGTGACATAATCAACCTTCGATTGTTGATTGCGTGCATGTAAATTATCCTGGGTTTACATTAGTCCGAGAAGTTTACATTACATTCCACTAGTTTGACTAGAAATCGATGTCTACTTTTTCATTAAATCTTTTTCATTAAAAACACAAACATACTGCATTATGCTTTGGCAAATACCGGAAATTATTCCAATCTAGTGGTGAATCACTAGACTGAAATGTCTACTAAAGGTTCTAAAAGATACTATATGTATATATGTATATAAACATTTTTATGAAATATCAAATACCATGATTTCTTTTTATATTTATATACTTGCCAAAATGTACAGTAACATATATATGTAAATGTTTTTTTACATTTACTTTAGATGTAAATTATGCGAGCAGTTTTATTTTGTCTACTTTATTCTACTTGTCTACTTAAATTTTATTTATTGATATTTGATTTCTGATTTTTCATATCTTAAATAATTGTTTTTTTTTGTCACGATTTGCTGTATATTGCTTTGATGAATATTTAAGAGGAAAATGTAACAGAAATAAACGGATGGTAACTTTTAAAAAAATTTGATATTGTCTATTGCTGTAAATTAATGATTTCCCCCTTGATACTGATGATTTCATCGAGGGGAAAACCTATCAGATATTAAATATTATACTCATAATATTTAGAACTTTCCACGTGCTGTTCCAATTCGTTGCACAAACCTTGTTTATATCTATTATATCTTGTATATCTAATCTAATTATGTTGTAACAGTAACATATTATGTAATTATAATAATGATAAATATTACTATTTTTTATTTTAGACATACTATAATTTTTATTTAATATTTATAACATGCATGATAACATGTTTCCAATGATCATATTAAAAAATTTATTAATTCATTTCGATCAGAATAACTTGATTTTTTAGTAATTATGGGTTAAAAAAAAATCGTTTAAAAAAAGTAAAAATTAACTCATACTCGCAAGATATTTTAGTCGAATTTTAACAGCTAAAACCAAGAAGTGGAAACAAGCTCTAACAATAATAAACGAAAATTTCAATTGACTAACAATGGACTTTCGTTCATCAACCAATAGCTGAAGTACTTTATGTAGTACTTTATATTTCTATTTCTTACATATATAAATAAATTAAAATATCGAAAAAATCGTTTTCATTATGTTGTAAATAGTGTAGTCTTCTTTGGCATATATTTATTCAAATAGAAATCATTTTCTAATTATGAGATATAATATTTTGCTTTTTACTTTATATAACATATATGAAACAATGTAGTCCTGGAGATTTTTTGTTACATAAATGTATCAAATCAGCATAATTTTTTGCAATATAAAAAACGATGTAATAAGAAAATTTATCAACGATAATAATAACAGTTATTTATGTAACAAATTTAATTTAATGATATATGATTTTAAATTTGATGATATTCTATGATATATTATTAACAAATTTAATGATACATTTTGCTGCATAGAAATAGAAATAGAAATTATCTTGATGTGTTATTTATTCGTGGTATGAGATGTAATGAATATTAGATATGTGTGTGTGTGTGTATATATATACATATTTATTGATTTTTCGCCTTCGTTTCCATCCAATTAGAATACGAATTAGTTATTAATGATTCAAGTAATAGCCTGTGATATGAATACAACTCATAATTATGAAATGCTTGTAATAACATTGCAATCTAACTCTGTATAAACTTTTATAACTCATAATTATGATTACTTTAATAACTCTTTTGTAACTTTTATAACTCATAATTATGATTACTTTTATAACTCATAATTATGATTACTTTTATAACTCATAATTATGATTACTTTAATAACTCTTTTATAACTTTTATAACTTATAATTATAAAATGCTTATAATATTAATATTAATTGCAATCTAACTCTGTATAAATTTTTTTATAAAAAAAGATATTTTCTACAAAACTACCACACATACAATGCTTTCTACAATTTGTTCTCTTCATGCATGATGCTTGTGCAAGTATGATGTTTAAGCAATCAATCTACTCATTCTAAGAAGTATAAATTTTTTTTTTCTAGAAACACAGAATTGAGTAATTTAGGGTACTTTGATATCTTAAAATGTTAATACCTACAAACACAGTTCATGAACCCGTTTATATAATAATACGGATTCTTTTATCTCAATTAACCTTAGTTCAGAGATTAAAGAAAAAAAAAGTACAGTGATTAAATGCTCGACAAGTTATCTGGGAATTCAAGTTCATGCTGAGTTTTCTAATAAACTGATTCTTCTTGATTATTCAAAGTGTTCCAGTTTGTATTCTGTTTCTCAATAACTTTGAACTGACCTCAAAAATATATTTAAAAATCTGCAGGAGAGTCTTGAAGGATCATGTATTTTTAATAGGACATGACTTGAAACAGTTCAGATCGCTAGTTAGTCTTTATGCCTCTTAACCTTAACGAAAATTCAGTACTTGAAAAAGACACTTGTTCAAGTGATGGCAGAAACTTCTCTCATAAATTCTTTTGATACAAATCGAAAAACTCCTATAAAAAACTATTTTTCATAGTACTAAGTAAATGAAAGAAAAACTCATTTTAATTAATATTTTCTCTCTTTTTTAATATTTTTATAAACTGTATACTATGCTATTTCGATTCGTTAATCATATTAATTGAATAATACATTTTAATACTATACTTGCATCGAAACGTGTACGTATTGTATAAAATAAGTTCATTCTTATTATGAGAAAACTATTTTACGAATATTTAATCTAAGTTTTCTGAGAGTTTCCTGCAATAATATTGTTATTGTATAGCAACAATATAGTATATAAAATACTATATAATTTTTCTTTTCTTTTCTGTCTCTTCATTTTTCATGGGATTATCAAACTAAAGTGTTCTAAGAAATACAATGTTTAAGTTCTCTAAGTAACTTGAAGAAAAAAACTATATTTGCAAAACTATATTTGTCCTATTATATATCATTGCAAATCCAATACGTATTTTTAACAAGCGATTGCATAAGAATTTTGACATAACTAGGATAATCTCCTGCCCGGTTTATATTATCCTAGAACGCTATCTGCGTGTGCACGTGTGTATGTGCGCGCGCGTGCCTGCCAGCAAACACGTGCCAACATCAATGTATCGGTCTATCCCTGAAGAAGCTGCAATGCTGGCAAAACGCCGAGATAATTCCTATTGACACGGCTTGCACCCGAAAGCTTAAGCTGTAACAGCTATGTAAGCTCGAGTTATGAATGTTGAGAATTTTTTGATATGTCATATAGTTATCAAAGATTGCATACGTACATATATTACTTTAATATTTAAAAAATTCTTTTCAGTTGTCATTTCATAAAAACATGCAGCAGTAGTTTATTTTATAATATATAGGATAATATTGATAATTCAACAAAGTAATATAAATAATATTCTGAAAATTACAAAATATAAAAGTTTTTTTCACTTTTGTTTCATTATTTCATAAAATAAGGAACTTTATATTTCATAACAAAAATGAATGAAATTTAGAATCGATTTTAAAAATAATTTATTTTCATAGCGAAATCAAGATTACCTTGTATTTTTCAAATAGGATTAAATATTTCATTTTTCCCCATCCTAATTATCGCTTTTTATTGCACACTGAAATTTTTATTCAAAACTGTTTATGTTGGGCAGTCATAAGTGGCTGAAAAAATGCTCATTATGATATCATTTAATAATTTATCATATCTTAATATATTATGTCTAATAAGTCATTTATTAAATTTTTAGTCTTTTAGATTTCTTAAGAAAAGATATGTTAAAAACAGTTCTTTTTCCTTTTTCAGTCAATAGGTGCTAAAAACGAAAAGGGGTGTATTTTCTTTAACTTTTCTGCGGCCAGTGGATAGGAAAAAGATACTTCAAGATGAACAAAGTGGATTACATGGAGGTCACTGTACCTAACTACTCATATGTCTTCAACTTTGAAGAAACATTCATTCATATGGATACTAAGATATGGATGACAAAGAATTGGACAAATTGTTTCTATTATTGTGGCATTTATATGATCCTCATTTTTGGAGGACAACATTACATGTCAAATAGACCAAAGTTTGAACTAAGAGGCATGCTTGCATTATGGAACACGCTGCTTGCAACATTTTCCATTATTGGATTTACTAGGACAGCACCAGAATTGATTCACGTATTAAGGCATTATGGGTTTTACCATAGTGTTTGTATACCTAGGTAATTACACTTCTATATCTTATTAATCAAATATCTATGAAATCATTTTTTTATATTTACGACTATTGATATTTTAAAACTATTATATATAATGAAAACGACTCTGTATTCGTATGTCGTGTACGACAACTATTCGAACATTTGTAGTTTTAGGATTGATATGCATATGTACACTGCCAATCATAAGTTTTAGATTTTAGTTTTACTTTTCTTTTTAGTTCAAGAATTCGGACAAATTTTACTTCATTTTTTTTAGTACTTTTTTTTTATTATGGTACGTCATAAGACGTACGTAATGCGAATAAAGTAACAGATTTTGTGCTAAATATCACCAGGCATTCTAATACTTATGATCAATAATGTATGTGCTTTACTCATAAGACGGATAAAAAAAAGTTTCATATTTATTAATCTAATTATTTATATTTTTCTTTTTCTTTCCAGTTTTATTGAACAAGACTGTGTGTCTGGTTTCTGGACATGGATGTTTGTTCTGTCAAAGCTTCCAGAGCTTGGCGACACAATCTTCATTGTGTTACGGAAACAGCCATTGATCTTTCTACATTGGTACCATCATATAACGGTCCTTCTTTACTCATGGTTCTCATATTCAGAATATACAGCATCAGCCAGATGGTTTGTTGTAATGAACTACTTTGTTCATTCCATAATGTATACTTATTACGCTTTGAAAGCAATGCGATATAGACCACCAAAGGGGATCGCCATGCTGATCACTACATTACAGTTAGCACAAATGGTTATTGGTTGCATTATAAATATTTCGGCTCACCAATACCTAGAGAGTGGCCAAATTGATTGCCACATTACGCGCGTCAACGTCAAACTTAGTTTGCTCATGTACTTTAGTTATTTTGTTCTCTTTGCTAAATTCTTCCAAAAGAGTTATCTATCTAAATCTAACAATAAAGTAGGAAAGAAGGTTTACGCCAATGGAACAGAAGAGTATGACAAGCTCAAGGCTAACTAAAGCACACTAAGATTTTTGAAAACTTTTTCTAGAGACGCTTTCCAGTAGCATTTCTTGAAAACGCTTCCCAAAGAATCTTTTTTCAAAGGCATTACGGAAATGCATTTCAAGAAATGCACCTTTGGAAATTTTGTTCTTTTTTTTTTTTGTTTTTAGAAATCTCTTAATTTAAAGTTGTAAAAGTTGGTCGTTTGCGGTAAGATGAACGTGGTTATCAAAGATGAAAATTACTTGAAGATATAGCACACTGAATTTTACAATAATATTATATGTTGCACACTGACTTTAGTAATAAATTTCATGATGACCTATTTAACGCGTTTGACGTTAAATATGTTATTACAGAATTAATATGGAGCTTGTTAGAGGCATGTCTTGAAACTCTTTTCTATGGAAACGGTTTCTAAAGAAATTTCTTGATAAACCTTTTCTTCGTAATTGTTCTTTACGAAGTTAACAAAAGATAGGGATGGAACGAGGATGGAAGCATATTTAAAAACCATAATAAAATAACGTTTAATGTCGAACTATTTAGCAATTGAAAAAGATATTGAACGTAGTAAGACAACAAACTCGACATATTTTTATCAAATTCAATATGTTTACGTTGTTCTTTTTTTCCCACGTCGTCTAATCAAATTTGTAATTTTATAATAAAGTAAAAGGAAGGAAAAGAAAAGCAAAGAATTGTTTCCAAATCTCGTTCCGTCGGAATAATGATAAAAGAAAAAAAGAGAAAGAAATCGAGAATGAAATTTCATTAGGCCTACCTCCAAAATGAGCTAAGATATTCTTCGTAGAAAATAGTAAAACAAGACGATAGATAATAATTGAAAAACGAAATTGTAATCCTAATTCATGACCATTTAAGAAAGAAAAGAAAATAATAAAAGAAACAAAAGGGTTTATATTTACTATTTTGTGCTGCTAGGGAGTAATAAAACGGGCAGCTTGCCGACGTCCTCTAACTTTCAAAATGGCCAGCCTTACAAAAAGCGTTTACTTTATTCATTTCTAAATATTTACATCGCATAATTTGTTTTATATGAAACTTTTGTATAAATTGTCATTTATGTGTATTCATTTATTTAAGTTGTCTATAATAAAAACACTTCTGTCTAAATTCCTGGCGTAACAGACACAACACAATTGTAATTCATTGGGTGCGATAAATCTAAAGATTCTAAATTTAATTTAAAAGAAGAAAAAGAAGATAGCAACGAACTTTCTTTCATATAATTTTATCTATCCAGTAATCCACACATTACAGAAAGCCCGAATCCATTAAGTTCTAAAGTTACAACTCTTGCAAGATTTTAGAAATTTTAAGTTATACATTGAATATAAAGTTTGTTATAAAAAATATTATAATAGCACAAGGTAAAAATATTCATATTATTCTATTTATATTTCTAATATGTAAAACTACCATTTTTTTGGAAATTTTTATTTCCAAATGTGTTTGTTTGATTGTGTGATTCGTTTTATTGCTTTTCTCTGCAATCTTCTGAATTCAATATTGCCAATTATCACTAACGGACTAATGCTTGAACAAAAGAACATTTTGAAATAACCTTCGCTAATACGTATTTAGATACACACTTGTTTAAGTCCTCGATTAAAAACTGAATGTGTAATTCGTACGCAAAATAGATAAATAGATACTTTTTGTAGGGATGGTTGTTCTTTGAAAGATGAACTGTCCGATTCTAGTCGCATGGTCAGGATGAGAACATTTGTTAGCTGGAATGGAAATTAAATTAGCAAGTTCAATTTTTCAAAACCGGAATAATTCATGCCGCTGATCGACGCGCACTTTCATAATCAACGTTTTTTTAAATGCCTTCCTTTTTTTTAAATTTTTGTATGACATCCGACTGGGTATAACGTTTCGTTCCTCCTCTAATTTATTATTTCCTTTCTAATTACTTCCAACTCGCACAAATATTACCAATGAAAAATTCGAAATCTTTGCTTTGACTGAGGTACACATTAATCGTTTGTATGTAAATCGTTTAATTTATTAATTTAACAGAAATTTATTAATTTAGAGACAATTTTAATAAATATTTATAATTCATGCGAATAATTATTCCAGTTTATGCATGTTCCTCCTTCTTTCTTCTTTTTGTTTTGTTTTGTTTTGTTTTGTCTTATGTATTTGCTACTCGATTGAGAAAATTGAGGGATCATTAAGGATCAGTCCAACGAATGACAATATTTGATTTAACATATTGACGCAAATGATGGCCATCGCCATCATGTATATATTTTTGCTAAAATAGTAAATCGTGTATCGCATGCACGTGCGTACATATTTTTGACAACAGATGACGATTTTGTATTTGAAAAGAAACGTTTTGAAAATTTTCGTCTTATTTCAGAAATGTATTTCCGCAGGATAAACACAAACGTCTGAAAGTAACCTGTGAAAATGAAATGTGCGTCAATGGGTTAACAGTAAATATTGCCAAAGCATTCCTACGTTCGATCTGAATTCCAATAGCCCTTGTCTATTTATTTATTTAATACAGATACTATTAACACAATAACGATAATACTGGTCGAAAGGTGCGTGTTTCATTTTGGTGGATAAGAAGAATTTAATTACTCGCGTTAATGTTTATACGAGTTATATTACAACGCAAGACGAGTAGAAGTAAATACCTACGCAAATTAGTTTGTAAAAAGTATTTGCAATAATTTAAAATTTTCATCGATCATAAAAACATACGTTCTATAAATGTTTTAGAACGTGTAATATGTAACATTTGATTTGATAACGTATCTAAATTTTGTATCTATAAAAAAAATATCTTGTCAATCTGTGTGTAATGTTACTTTCATGTACAAGAGACACGTGGTTTAGGTTGATATTTGCAAAATTTGTTGCGTGATTACTGAAATTATTGCGAATACTTGTGTTCGAAAAGATTTTACTAAATATCGATTAAGCAACTGATCGCTGCTCGTTTGTGTCGATGGTACATCGATGGTCATATTCGATTATTAATTAAGATTAAATTAGTTAATTGAATGCTGCTTCGACTCACCGATATTGGTGCAAATAATTCGGGTTAATTCTAAAGCCGATTTTTTCATAGATTTTTCATAGAGGAACTATGGAATTATAGAAAAGAACCAGAATAAACAAAAGCCTCGAATATTTATACAGATAATATTAAAAATTAAGCGCTACATTTACTATATCGCAGAAACACTCGTAACTATTGAGCTATCGTCGTTCAATGGCGGTAACTACGTATGTATGTATGTATGTATGTATAATCTTCTAGCGAAATTTTTTTAAAGAGAATCGAAAGAAGAAGAAAAAAAAATAGTTTTTTAGATTATTCAGAGATGGATACAGCGATCAATTCGACGATCAATTAAAGTGAAAAGACGAACTTCAATTCTGAACTTGAGAAGAGTAAGATAATACTTGCAACTGAATAATGAATGCAAACGGCAAAAACGTAATAAGTTTCACATCAACAACGAAGTACGAAATACAGAGAAACAAAAAAAATTCTGCCTGCTATTGATTATTTGTTTAAATGGATTCTCCGTTTATTTTCCGTAGTTTGGTTACAATTGAAATCAGGAGGAAGTTAAGAAGGAATGAATATCTTTTAATTTAATTCGATTTTCTTTAAGCAGTGTAATTCAATATGCAAAGAGAAATGAAAATGGAAGCAACGTATGGAAAGATGAGGATGAAAAAAAGGAGAATGTTTTGTGCGTGTGTGCATGCCTGTATGTATGTGTGTGAGTGAGTGAGTGAGAGAGAGAAAGAGAGAGAGAGAGAGAAACGATATGAGCCTCAGATGAAGCAAATATTGTAAAATTTTTTTTAAAATTTATATTAGAATAATTTTGTTTTGTTATTATCTATGCTTTTTTCTTTATTATACATGGATATAATATATGAATAATAATAATAATTTATGACAAAAGGTGTGGAAAAAAGTATTTATTTTTAATTGTTGAATATTAAATGAAATATTCGGATCCAATTTCTTACCAACCCTCTTTTAAAGTCGATGACTTTTATTATTTTATGGTACTTAAAAAATATGAAAGTTCTTGAATCTATGATTCAACAGGATCATTTTTAAAGTTAAAGGATTTATAACAACAACAGTAGAATTAAAAACAACAGGTTAAAATTTCTTTAGAATCAAAACCTATTTTTATTAAATAAAGTAATTTCTATTTTAAATAATAAATAACTTAGAAATTTATCACTAATGAATGATTTACAATTATTAAATATGTATTTAAAATAAAATTACAAATCTAATAAATTTATTATACATATTATTTGTAATAGATGAATGAATACACTAATATGACTATTAAGCATAATAATTTATCTTTAGAAACTACAACATTTTTAATTATTTATCTCGTAGAAAAACTACATTTAAAAAATATTTCATATTTCTTAAAAAAATATAAAAGACAATATGGCACATAATATTTACAAGTTAAAACTATTAGTGCTATTTATTAATAGTGTACAAGTATATACAAACACTATATAATACAAATATAAAATGAAGTATTACATTATAAACCTTTAATTTTTTATGCAACAAGTAAAAGATATATGCGATAAAGATTCCCAATTTAAAACTATTTCTTTAAATCAATGTAAAATAATTATTTTTACAATTTCAAATTCTCATATTTCTTACAGGAGTTTTATAGGAGAAAAAACTATTTTTCTTTACCCCATTCTTCAGAAACATACCTTAACAAATCTGTAAGATTTTCAAATTCGGTTCTACTCTGAGGAGGATTATTTTTTGGTATCTTTGGTAAAATATTTCCAACCTTTAATCGAAACTCTTGAGCCGTTGTAGCTCCAGAAAGCTTCCAAATCCCATAAAAAAGTATACCACAACCACCAATTGCCCATACAGAACCCCAGAATAAAGCTCTTGTAGCAAGAGCTGCGCCAGATTCATGAAGACCTTTCGCTCCTGTAAGTCCGATATCAAAATTTTTACTATCTTTTTTCTTAACTGATGACAACGCATTGAAGAAACCACTTATTAAAGATATCCCTGCTATCCCAGTTAAGAACAATGTTTCTGAAACAGAAATTGATAAGATGATATGTATTAATTTAATTTCTTTGCAATGAATAAATAATAACCATTCAGTATATAAAGTATTTTGTAAAAGTCCAAGTGTATAGTATAAAAATTCAAATATTGAAGATTGATTTTATAATAAGCAAAATCAGTACTCTGTCTGAATCATGAAAGACTATACCAGTGTACCATTTTAGGGTTATGTAACATATTTTGTTAATATTCAATAAATATACATTATACATGTAATGATATAAATTAAAAATTGACTGAAGTTTGAACTTGTAGTCATTAAACTAAACTTAAATTTGTTCCATGTTATTTTATTAAATTAAAAAACTAGTACAAGTTAAAATAAAAGACTAATATAAGTTTTGCATTTCTTGTGTAAATTTAATAATCATGGTATAATAAAAATGAGATGTTTAAGTAAAAAAAAGAAAAAAACAGTACTTTGAATTGTATTCAATTTTAAATTATTTCAATTTAGAAAGCAGTATATATACGTCTAAATTTTCAAATAAACAAAATATACCATAAAATTTATTTTCTTTCTTCTCCTTTTGGTCCATGTTCACTGTTTATATTATATTATATTTTATTTATTATTGTGACACATTATACTATTGAAATAGCATAATAAATAAAGATTTTTAGTGAAAATTTACAGAAGATTCTAATAAGACAAGACACAGAATCGGCAGTATTGTCTCTATCGGTTATTCCATAAACTATGATTTTTAACATGTAACCTTGATCGATTGGGCAAAATCTTTATACATGTATCTTATGAGTCAAAGAATTACGAGAATAAAATTATAAAAATTCATATACTAATCCGTTTAATTAATTCTTTTGCAAATGGAAATTTGATAAAACTAACCTCTTTGTAATGTAACTAGGAAAACAAATTTTGTCGATTTGAAAGCCAAATGTTTAAATTATCCAGAAATCAAATTAAAGTTAACTTACAGCATTGACTAAAGAAAGAATAAACCGGACATAAAATAGGAATTTGTGTCTCAGAGTCTGAAATACCGATCAGAAAAAAAATCACTGAAAAATCTACTCTTAAGCACAGACGAGGTTCATATACTTCGTCTATAATTGACAGCGTGTGAAATTGCGTTAAAATTTCTCTAGTTATTTCGCTGCGGAAAATTTAACTTTCTTATCTAACGATTTGCAATTTATGGAAGTTTCTTTAAAGATGTTCCTTTCGGGTTAAATAAACTTTTCTGTCAATTTTTAGTAGGGAGTTCCATTTGTATAAAATTTGAAATTAAAGGAGAAATGATGGAAGGTAGTGTAACAAGAAATATGTAAAATATTTTATAGTCGGCAACGAATTTCAATCTGTTCTTAGCAATAATTTAATACAAATGTTTTATGTCAAAATTTATTGATATTATATTTACTTTGTTTCTAAATAAACAATATTGAATAATCTACATTATAATATTTTATTAAGTTACAGCTATGTGTTTTTATATGTTGATAAATTATATTAATACACATTCATACTTGTTTCAGAAGAATTGAAGGATAGTATTGATAAACTAGTTGAAGAACTACGGTTCTTGGTAAAATCTGAGAAAAAAATTGAGGATATCAACCAAGTGTTAGATTCTATTGTTAATGTTAGCAAAACTTCTATTGAAGGTATTAATTGTTTGAAATTTGAATTTATATTTGAAAAACATTCATATATAAGAATCTATCAATTACCATAAATTGTAACATCAAATCAGTTTTATTTTAACTAATAAAAGATATATATGATATATTTTTATGATTTATGATCTACTTTTATTAATAGATGAATTTTAATTTTCAGAGGGTACTGAGTTTACTATAGATGATGTTTTTTTAACTTTACTGTGCCATGAATCTAAAGAAATTATTGCAAAGACTGCAAAAGCAATTGCTGAAATTGCAAAAAGTGAAAAAGGAAGAGAAAAATGCACTAGCACAGATTTGGTAAATGCATTATTAGATCTGTTGAAAGAAGATCATATTGATGTATTGACACAGACTTCCAGAGCTTTGGGGAATATTTGTTATGAGAATGGTAGGGAGCTTTAATCCCTAATGATCCAAATTTTGTTCATGTATGTAGTTAACGTTAAAATTAATATTACTATTGCTAGAAACTTTTAACTACAGTAATATGTTTAGTTCTTAATTTTTCAAAAATTCAAACGATTGGTATAATATTTTTATTGCAATCATTTAACAATAAAGATATATATAAAGAAGAGGGAAAACCAATGATATAGGTATTGTTTAGAAACAATTACTTCGTTTAAATTAATGTATTATAATATAAAGTATTATTGTAATAATATATAAATTTCATTAAAAAAATTATTATAGAAAATGGTAAAAAGTTTGTTGAGGACAAAAATGGATTGATATCGATTCTGGCAGTATTGGAAAAAAGTATTACATTGAAAGATGTAGAAGGTGTACCATTTCTTCGCAATGTTGCTGCAGGACTTTTGCTAAACTTTCTTGACCAACCATCTCTTCATATAGAGGTATAATATTTTTGCTATTTTTCTTGTTTCGTATATCATTCTAAAAAATATTTTTTTTTCTCTGTCAGGCATTGAAACAAGAAGTAGTACCAATTATCTGTAGTATTTTAGAAATCGATGGAAGTACAGGTGGAGAGGCTGCAATGCATTCTCTTTTGATACTAGGAATATTAAATGATGCTAATATAATATTTTTAGACGAAAGGCTTACACAAATTTTAGTAAATATTTTGTCCACTTATACGTCATCAGAACTTTCTGAAACGTGTTTAGAACTTCTTCATGGGCAAGCAGAAGATGGTACCATTATAATCCTAAAAATACAAAATAAATATTTCAACTGCCTAAATATTATTTCTGTAATACTAATAAATTTTTTATATCATTAATTTAATTATCTGCAATACTCACTTGAAATATTAGCTAGTATTAATTTATATTAATATTTCAGAGAATGCAAAGTTGCTTCTTGCCAAAGCAGGTGTTTGTGAATTATTGTTAAAATTATTGGAAAAGCATAGTCCATATTGTACAGATGAAGAAACAAGATCTGTGTTGAAGATTGCTTGTAATTTAATTATTCTTATATTAATTGGAGGTATTATTAACAAAAAAAGAAAAGTAATAAATATTCAATTGCATTTTATAAGTAATATATGTAATGTTATGTTTCAGATGATAGTATGAACTATCTATACGATCAGAGTAATGGTATTGCATATAAAAAACTAGTTGAGTGGCTTGAAAGCGAAGATAAAGATTTACAAATTACAGCTGTACTGGCAATGGGCAATTTTGCACGTACAGATACTCACTGCAAACTCATGGTTGCACAAGGTGTTCACCGTAATCTTCTGAAACTACTTCAAAAAAATAATACAGACGTCGCTGATATAAGATCTCAACATGCATTACTCAGCGCTTTGAGAAATCTTGTTATTCCTGCGGATAATAAACCTGTAATATTAAAAGATGGATTAATAGATGTCTTATACTCTATGTTGAATGTTTCATCTTATTCAGTTGTATTTAAACTACTGGGCACTTTAAGGATTGTCATTGATGGTCAAAGTACGCTGATAGCAATTTTTTCTTGAAAATTGTTTTAAATATATAGAGAAAATGTATATCTATTGATATAATATAAAGAAAATTTGATCACATTAACGAGTAAAATATTTATGATTATAGGCGAAGCGGCCATTGAGTTAGGAAAAAGAGATGGTTTAATGAAAAAGGTTGTCAATTGGTGCGAAGTTGAGGAACATCCTGGAGTTCAGGGCGAAGCAAATCGTTTAATTGCTTGGTTGATTAATAATAGCAGGTTATTTAATTTTAATAAATTGTATTGCACGTGTTATATGTATATATAATTGTTAATATTTGTGTTTTTTATCATTAGAAATAAAGAAATAGCATTTTTGGCAATGGAGCATGGAGCTGTGAAATGTCTAATTAAAATGTTAACAGCACCACATATTTTAATGCTAAATGAAGCTTTAATCAGCTTGATGATATTGACTGCAACTTCCTTGGTTGAATGTGAGAGTCTTCTTGTCAAGGATGATATAGGAGAGAAACTTTGCAAACTCTTTAGTACTTCAAATAATTTAGAAGTATCAATTTTGCATAATGTTTTAAGTCTGGTAGATAATATTCTTAAATCAGGTATTATTGAAATTTAATTATACAATTGCAGAAATAAAGAATTGAGGAAATTATGCTAAAATTAAGTTTGTTAAATTTAAATTTCAGATGCCTTAAAAGAACATCTGCGGAAAACTGATTTAATAACATTATGTCAAGAAACAAATTTAATCAAAGAAGAACCAAAACTTTATGAGAAATTGGAAAAAATTCGTGAAAAAATTGTATAATGTATAAGTATCAGGGAAAAAGCAGAATTTGGAAACTTATAATTATAAATATATATGAGACAAACAAACATCTAAAATATAAAACATTTTTTAATTAAATGAAAATAATTCTTCCTATTCTTGTCTAATGATCAAAATGATGCCAATATAACATCAATATACATTACAGTTTATACGCATAATGAAATTATCATCAAAAAATCATACAATATAATAATTTTTAACATTTTTCAGTTTTAATATTTTTCTGATTGTACATTTTTCTGTTATAGATGTACTTCCCGCATACATATACGTGTAAAATTATTTTGTATTAAAAGTCATAGTTCTCAAACATTTGACGTGTATATGTAATATATACATATGATGTAGAAAATTAGTTTAAAATTACTTCTCAAAATTAACTTTACTATTTGTTGTAATGTGAAGAATATTCATCGGTATCTCAACTTGTTTATTAAACAACTAACATAAAGATTACTAATTATTTAGTACATGTATCTATGTATAATTATTTTTTATTTAATCTAAATGTGATCATTTTCTTATAAAAAAAAAGGAAACAGATATTATAAATTTTTGAACATGTGTACCAATGTAAGTACATAGGTTTAAGAAACTGACCAAATAATATATTTTATGTAATTAATTAATAATAAATTTACAGATTATAATTTCTGATAACTATACTGTAATCTTCATTGTTTTTTTAAAGATAATGTTATTACACGATTTGAGATTTTTCATTTACCTTATTTTTTTTTTAAGCAACAGTGAACAAGATAATAGAGCTTGTAATTACTTTTTCTGAAAAATAAACTTTTTTCTGTAAAAAATCAGAAGATACGTTGGTCTCGTTATGTTTGAATGGATATGCGTACCCGTGTATGTATGTGTATACTTATCTGTTTTAGGATCAAATTTTCAGCAATAGTTTTTTACAGTGAAAAGAACACGGACAAACGATTTGACTGGTATTTTTAGCACTGTATGCTTCGTAGATTACCGGTGACCCGTGGTATTTGTTATAAGTAAAACTTCTATTGAAAAATCCGATATGAAAAACAGTTTTTAAGTTCGTATTTGTTATAAATAGAACTTTTATTGAAATATCCGATACGAGGAACGATTTTTGACTTGTTAACAATTCATAATTATTTTCTAAAGAATTTGCACGTGAAATAAAATACAAAAATGTGAAAAAATGAGATTTCTTAGCGTATTTCTAAAAAGTATTTCTCTATGTTTTATAATTATTACTTAAATAAATTTTAATTGGACTATTTAATAAAACAAATAATTAAGTGACAATCTTGTGTATATATATATATATATATATATATATATGTAAATCTGTATGACTGTAAATCATCAGTCAACATTTCTACGTATTAATTAAAATTAATGTATGTAAATTTATCGTTTGGTTGTAGGCAAGGCTGCAGAACTTTGTATCCTGTACTTCTAATTTCCGGAATGGTCACGCTCGTGCACGAGCATGGGTAAATGGGTTGCGAACTTTCGTAATGCCGGGAATGACAAAGTGGCAAAGTTTCACTCTATCAACCCTCCGGCAGATGGTGCTTTGCAACCTGTTCCCAGGTGAACGTTCGTGGTGCGCATGCGCATCGACCTATCGCTTTGGTTGAGCGGTGCTTGAGCCTGACTGTCAGTAGTGGTGCGGCGGCCACATCGAGGGTTGGTGTTTCGTACTCTCCCAGGCAACGAGACCGGTAAGCGCCTTTTTATCCTCTTTCAGATCTTCGGTTCGTCCTGCAACCGCTTCGATTGTACGCTCTCATCACGCGTCCTCTGATTTTTCTTTCGTCATTCACGTCTTACGGTTTGAAACTGCAATAAAACGTTGAAACTTTGGCGGGATGAGGATGCTGCGTGCGCGTGATTATTATTTTTGAGAGATTCGGGATTGCTCTTTTCTTTTTTTTTTTTTTTTTGGGCACCCTTGGCTCGATAAACACCCCCCACCCGCCATTTTGACTCGTCCTTACCGATCGATAGGAAGGAGATAATCGGTGGTATTACCGACACGCTGATTATTTCCTCGCCGCGACGAATTACAAAAAAAGAAAAGAAAAAAAGTAATTATTATCGTTCATCGATGGACAGGTGGCGCTTGGGTTTTTTCCTCGTAAGGTTGTTGTGTCGTTTCTCTGTTACTCTTTCGCGTTCTTACCTAACGACGAAATTTGAATGCGACGGTTTTCGTGTCCCGCTTCGGTTGTTCGGTTTTTTTTCAAGTTCGTCGATCAGCGAGAGTTTCAAAAGTATGTGAGTACAAAATGAGTAAATAATTTTCTGATAAACTTTGAGAATGTTAAGCAACTTGATACGTTGAATATTTGAATTTTGTATGGCAATTCTGACAGTTTCTAGTAGCTGTAGTAGTTTCTACTTTAAAATTACACGCCAGTGTAATTCCAAATGTAAACGCAAGTGTTTAAAACGTTATACGCGATTATTTTTCTTAAATTCTGCTCCCACCCGTTTGTTTGTTCAAACTGTTTTTTGAAATGGGAGATTTACTTGTCGATGTAATTTTCTTTTCTCTTTTTTTTATTGATAGCCACAAATATTAAACGTATACAAGTATAAAACTGCATTTTATTGTAACATTGCTAATTTTTATTTTTGTAATTATACTTGTAATTATATTATAAGATTAACATTTGTAGGATTTTTTATATAACAAATATTTCGTTGCAAATACAATATACATATTCTTTTTTACTAAACGAGGGAAGGATCATTCTTATTACTATAATTGCAAAAAGATGCAGTACGAATTTATTTGTTGCTAAAATAAATAACTATAAGGCTATAGTTATAGACTGTAAAAAGATTGATGTATAACAATGATTGAAGCCAATATTGGCAACGCAATTTTTATTTTTATTGAGGACATAAAAGCATTACAATACGATACAAGATATATCGTTCAAAATATATACCTATGTATGTATTTTCTACCGATACGTACGTATATAGCGCAATAGAAATTCGACGAGATTTATGTTATACGTGCTTGTTCTGTGACTTTATGGATTTAATACGTTTCCCCCGTGTTTGTTTTTATGCTCATCTATTTGATATCCGAGTAAGTACTTCGTCCAATTTATTCTCGAAACTTTTCTGCTTTTTCTTGCCTTTTTTTTTCTTTTTTATTCGGTATTTATCGAAGAGGAAAATGAGAATCTTTTGAAATTATCTAGATAACTCGAGCGATTATTTAATCAACCATTCGTGCGAATATTTGAGAATATCGAGCGTAATTTCTCACGGATTTGCGTACACTTTTAAACTTTTCTCGTTAGTTCGAGCCTTCAATCGGAAAAAAAACCTCTCAAATTACCTCTAAAGCATAGATAAAACGTAACGTGATTCATTCGTACGGTCACAGTGTTGTAAAAGGGGATAGTGTACAAGAGTACAAGGGAAATTGGATAGTTTATAATCAGACGCGTTTTGAAACAAACACGGTTGAAACTTCATCTTTTAAGAACGCTTGGTGAACAGGTTGACGATTTTTTTCAAACAAGTACAACTATCTCAAGAGGATCTAAAACCGTGATTCTCAACGTGGGTGCTCACGCTCCACAGGGGTCCAATTCGGGAATGAGTTATTAGTGAATTTTTTGTCTTTTCACCTTGAAGATGAAGAGTTCAAATGGTATTTTGAATTTGTTAGGCATTTTCATTTTATTTCATGACAATTCAAATGATCGAAATGTCACATGGAAAAAGCTTCCATTAAAATTTATTTTACATTCTCTTTTGTAAACTTTATTTGCTGTTTATCACATTGCTTCATTTTATCATTTTCTTTTAACAATTTCTTAGCGACTTTTTCGAGGTATTGTTCTTTCGTTCTTTCATAGATGTCAGATTCTTTGGAAGCTTGTTTAGAGTTAATGGCCTATTAGGCTTTTTGAATAGTAAGAATTATGTATTTGTCACAAAGATTAGGGCATCAGGATTTTAGAGATGTTTAGGCCAAAAAAACTGATCTAAAAACTGTGGAGTTACACACATTGGTACATTCTGTACATCGTGCACACTTGAATTGTAAAAGAGACTAGGATTTATTCCCCCTCCGTAAACGTGTTTAGTAACCATGTTCCGCGGACTTTCGTCGAAAGTCTTTGCTCGTCATTGGAAACTGTCAACCCGGTAATCCAGCCGTCCAACTTTCGACGGTAGTGGGAATCGACGTGCCATAAACTCGTTTCAAACTGCTCCGTCTTAAAGCGGCAGCTAAGGACGAGGGCGGCGTTGGCTGGCGGTAATGAAGCAGTGAAGTGCTTTTCCTCAGCCCTGAAAAGACATTTATCACGTTCTAGATGTTCGTCTAGCCGTTTCGTGCTTGCATTCATGCTCCCTTGTGTAACAATGGTTCTACGTACTCGGTATATCTATCAGAAAGTGAGCGACGAAGGAAAATTTGCAACAAAGCTCTGCCTCTAGCTCAGAATTATATCAGAACACGTATGTAGGTTAAAGCGAGAGATTTCGTAAAAATTTGCGGATTGAGGGTTCATCGTGGCGTTAAATGGAACAGAAATTCGTTTCGTTTTAACCTCTTGCGCGTCGAGAATTTTTTGTCCCAAAATTGTAATATTTTCTCAGTTTTAAGCGTGTTTAAGTAAAACAAAATAGGGAAAACAAATAATAAATTTATTATTACTTCACAATAATTTCTATCCAGTGATCACACCGACGAGTTCAAAAAGAAAGCGACGAATTATTGTATACGGTTTGGTCACTCGTTATGGTCCGCAATCAGTTGCATCCAGTGACATCATACGATTTTTAAAAAGAAAGCGACGAATTATTGTATACGGTTCGGTCACTCGTTATGGTCCGCAATCAAGTTGCCAGCGCAAGTGGTTAAAAGCCACGTTCCCAAGAGGACTTGAAGTAGAAAATTGGTCTACAAAGTATAATTTTCTTTTCGAGCCGTTTATCTGTTTCCTCAAATATCTTTTTTTCTAATATGAACCAAAAAAAGAAACGTGAAATTGTTCGTAAAATTACGTAACTCGCCACTCGAGAAAGTTTTCGAATCGCACAGACTCAGCTGTACATCGTGTTCCCATGTTTTTCAAACAAGAAGAGAAAGAAGAAGAAAAAAAGTAGGGGAAAAAGGTAAAAGAAAAGATTTTACGTTTATTCGCCTTTAGCTGCCTTTAGTAGCGTGGAATTCAGTTGGCGACACTTTCAGAAGATCTCGGCCGCGTCACGTCGTTTCTCTCGCCTTGGTTTTATCTAGCTTTTCTATTGAATATTTGATAAAGAAAAAGGCTCAGTGTGTGTGTGTGTGTGTGTGTGTGTGTGTGTGTGTGTGTGTGTACGTATTTGTATATTTCGTGAGAAATGATTCTATTCAGCGTTGGCAAGCGTCAAAGCGCGACGCTTCGGTGTAGTTTGAAAAAGTGCCTCGACACGATCCGTTTGCTGGCGAACAAAGGCGACGAACGGTCGAATAGAGAGGCCAGAAGAGAATTGAGATGAAATTTCCGCGGGAATTTCGACGAAACGAGAAGTCTGTCGAAAGGGAATGAAAAGGTAGTCAGAGTGGCGTGTTCCTCTTTCGATTTTCGATTTTAGAAGCTTTCACGCCTGATGCAACTTACTTTTGCAGGAGTTGCGCGAAGTTACTCGATGGA